TGGGATTACAGGTGTGCACCACCATGCCTGACGTTGTTTTCCACCAAACACTTTATCTGCCCTAGGGTAACAGGCTTCTATGTGCAGCAACAACTCTAGATGCTTTTAAACTCTTCATATAAATTACTCTTGAACTAGGGATTTTTCACCTGAACATTTGATCACTGAGCATAAGTATGAGACTTTATGTTTAACTATATGAAATGCTTTCTAAAGTTTTTTAAGATGGGGTCTTACTATGTTGCCCAGGCTGGCTTTGAACTTGCAGTCCTTCCATCTTAAGCCTCTCAAGTATCTGATACAGTTCTTGTTTTTCAATAGTTGCTTTTCTTGAGACAGGATCTTAGCCGGGCATGCTGGTGCATGCCTGTAATCCTAGCACTTGGGAGGCTGAGGCAGGAGGATTATTCTGAGTTCGAGACCAGCCTGGACTACAAAGTGAGCTCAAGGTCTGCCTGAAGTACACAGTGAGACACTGTCTCACAAAAAAAAAAAAAAAAAAAAAGAAAAATTTAAAAGGATCTCACTATGCAGTTCAGGCTGGCCTCAAACTCACAGCAATCATTCTGCCTCAGCCTCCTGAGGGCTGGGAGTATAGGCATGTGGCACCATGCCCAGCCAAGTCTTCTTAAATATTTTCCACATAACCAATATTAACTACTTTGTCTTGCGCTATTTACAAATATGATCAGCACGTTTCTTTATCCAAGTTATTCATTAAAAAATCCACAGGTAGTCCTAAGTGGGCACAGTTGGGTACTAGTGTGCACCTGCTAAGTGTCCACATGGTGCAGTAACACTCATTGAGTGTATGAGTCCCTATCTCACCCACAAGGTTTTATGAATGGCTTTGTCAAAAATGCACTTGTTCTAGTTGGTATTAAGAGTGTTCCTTATCCTGAAAAGTGTAAGAAGGAAAAAGAAAAGAGTATTTTCTTTTTTTTGAGACAGGATCTTGCTATGTGGCCCAGGCTGGCCTCCAACTCACAGCAATCCTCCTGCCTCAGCCTCCTGAGTGCACCACCACACCTGGTGTTCTTTTTCTTCGGATGGTTGACTTGGAGTGTCACCTTGACTAAACAACGATGGCTGGTACGCCATTATTTGTTCTCAATGTTTTAGAAGTCCCTGAGCCTGTCCCTCTTATGCTGTAAGGGAATACAAGTGATTTTCCCCTCCCTTCTTGTGGTACTACTCATTGGACCTTTACACTCAAGTGCAGTCCCAAGCTCCTTTAAAAAAAAAATTTGAGACAGGGTCTTGCTAAATTGCCCAGGTTGGACTTGAACTTACAGTCCTGCCTCAGTGTCCCAGAGTGCTAGGATTACAGCACCACCACACCTGGCTTGCTTTTGCTTTTGATCAGACTGACCCTCACATGTACAGGAGGATGTTTATGGAGGAGACTGGCACATGAGTCAGAGGACTCCATGGGAGATCGAGCCTCAGTGTGCACACACCTTAGATGGAACAAAAAACAAGGAGGATGGGTTGTTTCCCTCTATCTCAGGGCTGGGACAGCCCTCTTCTCCCCTGCACATCACAACTCCAGGCTCTTCTGCCTGTGGACGCCAGGGCTTGGGTCAGCAGCCGTTCTCCCTAACCCACACTGTTGGCCCTGGAGCCCCTGAGGAGAGCCACACCATTGCCTTCCCTGCTCTCAGGGACCACCTTTCCTGTGGACCAGGCCTGTGCCAGCTACTGCTGCCCTGGTTCTCCAGCTGCAGATGACCTGCCAAGGGATTCCCAGCCTTGCAGTGGGCCCGTTGCCAGGGCAGCCCTGCCTTATTGCTGGCTCTCCCGTGGGCCCTGTCTCTGCGGCACTGTGGAAGCTGGTTTTATTGCCCCCAGCGCCTTCCCACAGCTCTTGGTTCTGCTCTCCTGCTTCCTGCCCCCCACACCTCACACTCACCCCTTTCCCTCAGGGAAGTCACTCTGTGTGCCAGGAGCACAGTGATTTGGTTGAATTAATCAACATATAAATGTTAGGTTTCTATTCAGCCCTTCTAGAGTATTTTCATTATCTAAGAAGGGTGTTTATTATAATCATTTTCCTAATTCATAAAATTTCCAGGAATATATTTTGATAAGTAAAATATTTCTAGCCTCTTGAAGGCAAAGGTATTTTAACAGGAAAGTACAGCCGGTCTCAGACAGGAGTAACTCCCCCGTGAGTCCCACTGAACTGGTTCCATAGTCAGGGCTGGTCTTTTTCAGTCTCTGAATAATCAAAGTTCTCATGCTGTACCCTCTGCACAAAGGGCACCCATGAGGGCAACAAAACAATTAGTAGCACCTTCTGGAGAATGGGAAATAGAGAATTCTGATTTTCTACTCTTGGGGTGGTGGCCGTGGTACAAGGGACTGAACACAGGGTCTTCACAATGAACTACATTTCAAGCCCTTTTTTTATTTTTAATTTGGAGACAGGCTCTTGTAAATCACTAAACTGCCCACGCTGGTCTTGACACTGGGATCCTTCTTGCCCAGTCTCCCAGAGTACTGGCAATACAGGCATGTGCCACAAGGCTCAGCTTCACTTTCCACTTTTTAAGCTTCTGTGTATTTATAGATTTCTAAAAACGTGAACACAGACTTTGTGCTGCTGGGGGTCAAACCAAGGGCCTCACACATGTGAGATAAGTGCCCAAATGAGCTACACCACCAACCTTCTAACAGTTTTTAAAAAGTTTATAAGAAACTTAAAGTACAATTGTCTATCCACATGCACTTTTTCAATGACTCTTTTTCAGACTCTTCCTGTCTTTAATATAAATTAGTAAATTTTTTCCGTGTTGCAGTGCTGGGGATTGAACACAGTGCTTTGTGTCCCTTAGGCAAATGCTCTAATGCTGACCCACATCCAGTCCTAAATTAGTACATTTAGAAATTGAAATAATGCAAGCAGTAAACATGAGACTACAGCTATAACCAGTACTACCATCCCCTTTCCTCTCCTCTTGAGAGGCCCAGGCTAGTCTCCTACTTGTGAGCCCAAGCAGTCCTCTTTTTGTGTCCCGCATAGCTCAGACTGCAGGCAAGAGCACCAATCTAGCTTTCCTTTCTTAATTTAAATTCACCATCTGAATGTACTCTTCTGGGAAGCTTTCATGTACAATCACAGTTTATATCTAAATATCTGCTCTAATGAAATCTAAGTATCTCATTAAGTATGATGGAAATAAAACTTCTAAAATCAGAGTAGTGATTTTTTTTCTGTTCTGTACAGGTGGTGGCCAGGGCTTAACTTTATTAGACTTTTTTTTTTCACTGTTTTGCCCCCACAGGGAACTTACTTTTATGCTTTGGGTAGATCACGTCAAAACCAGGCAAGGGCATCACCACATCATGAATGGAGTAATTATTAACATCTTCTTCCTCAATATAGGTGGCTGTGGCTGCAAATCCATAAGCGAACAGTAACTTAAGGAAAAAGCCAATATTTTCTGAATTTAAGCTTGGAAGGAAATTAAATTGGGCTATAACTCTGTCTTTTCTACTCTAAGAAATAAAAGCAAAGATTTAATAGAACTCTTAGTGAAGATGGTTGTGATGTGAGAATTGAAGGCCACAGAGAGAGCGAAGAGAGAAACTTCAACAGAGAAGGAGGAGACAGCCAGTGGTGTCTTCTCCTTGAAACAGAACTCAGCATAAGAGGAGTGGTTCAAACCTACAGACACACAGTGACTGCTGGCAACACCAGAGGCCTCCATGGAGAGACACAGCTGTGTGAAAGGGAATAGTGGACATGGAGGACTGCACTAGCTGGTGCTGAGTGCTGTGGGATCAGACGTCCCATAGGAGAGGGTGATTGGCTGGGAGCCATCTTGGAGAGGGGCCAACTGAGCTCAGAACTCAGAACAACTGCTGGGTCCATCTAGAGGCTCCTAGCTAAGTTCTAGCCTGCAGAAGGTGAGCTGACAGTTGCAGGCTGACTGGGTCTGGTCTCAGCCTCATGGCCAGAATCCAGCCCAAACTTCAAGGGAAATAAAGGTGTAGGCTCACTGAGATTATCCACTACCTCGCTATAAAGCTACTGATGCCTTGCTGGAATAAATCAACACAGATCTGGATTCTGTCTCCACACACTGTCTACCAGTGACACAGAGACAAATCCGGAAGTGGACATTTTTTTTCTCTCCTTCATTGTTTGATCTTGTTTTTACATGAGTGTCAAAGTGGTTTCTGGTTTCTTTGTGGTTGTTTTTCTGTTCTGTTCTTCGTTTTATTTCTCCCTTCTCTTTCTCTCCTGTCTTCTCCAACAGTTTCCTGAAGACTGCGTGATCACCCTTTCTCCTCTAGCCTTGCTTCTAATTTCTTCCACTTCTCCTGTTTCTCTGTTTTTCTCCCTAATCCCTTTTAAATTTTCTCCCCAGGGTAAAACTGGCATATTGAGGGATTATTTATTGCATACAATTTTCTGGTTTTATTTTTTATTTCTTTTTGAGACAGGGTCACACTATGCATTTTAGGTTGGCCTTGAGCTCACTTTGTAGCCCAGGCTGGTCTCAAACTTGCAACGATCCTCCTGCCTCAACCTCCCGAGTGCTGGGATTACAGGTGTGCGCCACCATGCCCGACCAATTTTCTGGTTTTAGATTTTGTTATATAACCACAAATCTGTATCATACGGTTAAAGTTGGTAAATTAATGGTTACCTCAGTTTGTCATTTTCTATGCTATGTTTGATGCTGTTATTGCTGATTGTACCACTTTAGCTAAAGTAACATAATGGTTCTAACCAGCTGTTGTTCCTGGTATACCAAGACAGATTGCCTAAAGGTCATAGAAAATACTGTGGGCCAGTGCCGAAGAACAGGGAATAGGCCAAGCAGGCAGCAACAAACTGAAGAGGTAGGATCTTACAACAGACTCAAAACCCCAAAACCAGCTACACCTGAAAGACACACTTGAGAAGTAGGCATTTTGTAACGGTTCTAAATACTAGCAATAAAGCAACTCAACATAGGCAATTTACTAGCATCAACCTAGGAATTAAAATTAAAAAAAGAAAATGAGAAGACACTTAAACAAGATGCAATCCCAGACATCCAGTTCACCAAAGGCAAACCTGGGGGGCAATGAGGTAGGACAATTTGAAAGCTACCCACCTGTCCTCTCTGAAGACGTAACAATAACAACAACAAAAATGAATGAGACTATAGACAAAATCTAACCAGAAATAATTTCTCAGATAACTACAGAGACAGTAATCACAATGAAAACCATGCTTAGTGACTGTAGAGGAGATACAGATTAAAAAATAGAAATGCTTAGTAGAATGATGGAAACCATGAATGCTCCAAATACGAAAGAAATGGAATCCACAAAACAGATTCAAATAGATATTGGGGGGACTAAAAATTCCACTGGAAGTATCCGCAGCAGAATGAGCCAATGTGAGGACAGACTCTTAGATACAGAAGATAGGCTTCTGGTTAGCGGGCATTAAATAAGAAGATTTCTTAAAAATAGCAAAGGACCATGAGAAATCAATCCAGCAGCTGCTATGGTGCAAAAAGAATAAATAAGATTGACTGGAGTCAATGAAAAATAGCATAAATTATATAAACAACTTGTTCAGAGACGTCATGGCAGAAAATGTCCCTGGCAGGGGAAAATAATTTGCCATAGATAAGCGAGGCATATAGAGCTTCAATCAGTCATAACTAAAAAAAAATTTACAGTCAAGCATATCATAGTCAAGATTCCAGAAATTCATCACAAGAACAGACTATTAAAAGCTGTTAGAAAAAAGAAACAAATCACCTATAAAGGAAAGCCCATTAGAATCATAGCTCTCAACACAAAACCTAAAGTCAATGAGAGCTTGGAGTGAAGTATTTCAAGCCCTAAGAGAAAACAATCTCCAACCCAGAATGATGTACCCAGCAAAATTATCTTTCAAAATTGATAGAGAAGTAAGATACTTCCATGAAGAACACTTGAGGAAATTCATGAACACCAAACCAGTACTCCAAAATCTTAATGAAGGACATTGTAGAAAGAGATAAGAAGGTTTACAACTCCATGAATCCCAACAGAAGGAATCTACCAGGCAAGGTAAACAGTTAAACAGAGGGAAAGAAAAGGGAGCCAATAAGAGGGAAATAACATGACAAGGATAAGTCAATACATATCACTTATAACCATCAATGTTAATGGTCTCAATTTACCAATCAAAAGAAATAGACTGGCAGAATGGATCAAGAAGTGAGATCCAACAATATACTGCATATAAGAAACACATTTAATGCAAAAAGAAATTCAGACAAAGTGAAAGGATGGAAAACAATACTCCACATGACAGGAACTCAGAAAAAAACAGGGGTAGCTATTCTATTTGCAGACAAAGTGAATTTCAAGCCAAAACTGATTAAGAGAGACAAAGAAAGTCACTACATCCTTACAAAGGGAACAGTCCAAGAAGAAGAGATAACAATCATAAATATACACGCAATAAACACCAATGCCCTGAACTATATAAAACAAATATTAATGGACATGAAATATCAAATAAGCACTAATACAATTAATTGTATTGGGGGCTCTCAATACCCCACTGTCACAAAGAGATCAACTAGACAAAAAAAATCAACAATGAAATATTAGTACTGAACCAAACTTTTGAACAAATGGACTTAGTAGACGTCTACAGAGTGTTCCACCCTACAACATCAGAATATATGTTCTTTTCACCTGCACATGGGACATTCCCCAAAATAGACCACACAGCTCACAGAACATTCTTAAGTAAATGCAAAGGAACTGAAATTATTCCAGGCATATTATCAGACCATAGTGCAATAAAACTGGAATTTCATCAACGTGTGGAAATTAAATAACACCCTCCTGTACAACCAATGGGTCATGGATGAAATTAAAGAAGAAATTAGACAGTTTCTACAATTGAATGATAATGACAGTACAACATATTGGAACTTATAGGACACAATTAAAGCAATCCTATGTGGTAAATTTATAGCAATGAACACCCATACTGGAAAACAAAGAAAGCTCAAATAAACAACTTAATGTTAAACCTCAAACTTCTAGATAAAGAAGAGCAGGCCAAGCCCAAAGCTTAACAAGGGAGGAAATTATAAAGAAGAGAGCAGAAATAAATGCAATGGAGACTAAGAAAACAATACAAAGAATTAATGAATCAAGAGTTGGTTCTTTGAAGGATTAAATAAAATCAACAAACCCTTAGCCAACCTTATCAAAAAAGAAGGGAAAGAAAAGACTCAAATTCACATAATTAAGAACGAAAAGGACCCCTGGTATACCCCCACCAAAAAAAAAGAATGAAATGGTCGCCTATAATCCCTGCATCACGGTGCTGAGGCAGGAGGATTGCCATCAGTTTGAGACCGGCCTCAGTGACATAAGCAAGTTCAAGATCAGCCTGAACTGCACATCAAGACCCTGTCTCAGACAATCAAAAAGAAAAAAAAGAAAAAAAGAATGAAAAGGCAAAATCACAACAGACCCTGTGGAAATCCAGATCATCTATACCTATTTTGAGAACTTGTATTCTAGTTAGATGGCAAATGCAGAAGAAGGGCTGGGGAGATAGCTCAGTGGCACAGCGCTTACCTGGCAAGTGCAAGGTTCTAAGTTCAAATCCTGGTACCAAAAAAAAAAAAAAAAAAAAAAAAAAGCAGAAGAAATGGACAGATTTCTAGATACATACAAATTACCAAAGCTGAATCAAGAAGATACAGAAATCTTAAATAAACTAACATCAATGAATGAAATTGAAGATATAATTAAAAGTCTACCAACAAAGAAAAGCCAAGGCCCTGATAGATTCACTGCTGAATTCTACAAGACACTCAGCGAAGACCTAATACCACTACTTCTCAAACAAAAGCAGGCGAACAGGCCATATATGTCGGCAAACTGAAGGTAGCCAGGCATGCCAATGAACCGTAAGCATGAATCTTCAAACCAGCCAAGTGGGCTTGAAACTCCAGTTTTTTTTCTCAACAGCTGTGGTACATTGGGCAAGTGATTAAACTGCATGAAAAATGGAGAAAATACCTGCCAGCAGTACTACAGGATATAGGCAAGGGAGTTGGGGCAACGAGCGTTCGGGGGTTACAGAATGGCCATTCTCTAATGGTCTACATATACAGTAAGATCTAGTCTAGGATTAACCTAAAGAAACTTAAACTTTAAAACTGGCTGAAAGCAAGCCAGAAATACACCTATATGTAGGCTCAGGTTAAAGCTGGAAAAGGCTTATAGCCACCACTGGTCCAATTCCTATTCTATATCCTAACTGAGAAAGTGGTGAGTCAGCTGCTTCCTCAAACCAGGTACAGATTCTTTAAATTACAGAAACAAACTAGTCACTCTAAGCTTACATGACCCTTCTATCTCAAGCTTACTCGATATCTCCTTTGTAATTTAGTAGTAGGTAGGATTTTAAAGCCCTTGGTGTCAGAGACCTAAATTCTATTTGACTGAACAATGATATGCACTGTTTTACCTCCTTTAAGAACCAGATCCCCTGCAACAGGTTTCAGCCCATAGTCTTCTATCCTCTTGCTCACCATGTTATTCCACACATAGCTTTGATAGCTATGGATATACATTAAGCGATTATTTCTTGGTATCTAAAGGAAGAAAAAAAAAGGCAAGAAAAAATATTCTGAATATAAAACATACTGTAGTCTCTAAGACATCTTGCTTGTTTAATGGTGATCCTAGTACTAGAAACTTATTTTTTAATAGCCTATAGAAACATTCACTGAATCAGAACACTAAACATTAGAGATGGAAGACCTGAAGCTAAAGGGTATTAATGTGGCAGCAGTTTATATTTTATATCCCAATGCCTACATCCATGCAAATGAAGCAAACGCCAAGGAACTTATACCCTAAACCAAGACACAGACTTTAAACTCAGGGAATTTATAAATTAATTATAGAGCCAACAATGCTTTCTCCTCCATAACTGTATACAATGCCTGAATGACAACTAATTTCTTGCAGTAAGAATCCTGCTTTATTTGTACATCTGGGAAAAAAGCAACTCAGACGGGTTTAAAGGATAAACTTTAACATGTCCTGTAATATTATATAAAATAGTGGCAGAGGCTATACTTGCCAAGATGGTACCTACTCTTAGGTCACCATGAAAAGAACCCTGACTAGCAGGCAACTATTTAGACGGTTGCAGTCCATTTTTTTTCTTAGGGCAGTTTATAGTTCTAAGGCTAATGACCAAGAAATGACCAAGAAATGACTATACAGTATATGCTGAACTTCTGGAATACCCAATGCAATTTCCCACTGGAGACCATACTTTGTACATTAATGCCTCTCATGCCCTCAATGTTAAAAAGCAGTGCCAGGGCTGGTGATACAGTTCAGTGGCACAGTGCCTGCCTGGCAAGTGCAAGGTCCTGAGTTTGAGTCCACGTACAGAAAAAAAAACAAAACAATACAACCATAAAAATCAGTGCCCATGTTGCCCCTGTCCACTCTCCCATCTCCCTCCAGGACTGTACAAAGATCGCTAGGGTAAAACACCTCTTGGAGATCACCAAATGATACTTATTTACCTTCTGCTCTTTCAAAATTTAGTAAAATCTTCCAAGATAAAGTTTAAAAAGCATTAAACACCTTGGGCCATTGCCTGACTTCACAAATGCACTCACTATGCCAAATGCAGAGACTATATTCTTCATTCCATATTTTGAAAGTCCTCGAAGCAGCTGCCCCTCCACACACCTTTTGACAGGCAGTTTTTTGAGGGCAGCAGCTGGGTCTTTGGTCTTCGCCCATTCTTCCCTGCATTTAACCAAGTACCCTTTTTCGGCTGGGGAAGAAAAAAAGCTATGATTAAGCAATTTTCCAACAGATGCTCTTGCACAACAGAGTATTTCACAGGAAACACAACATTATAAAGGTTGTCTGCAATGTTCTGCCCACCTGAGAACAGCTGCAAGAAGTGAAAAGATGGGGACTGTGCCAAGTTTGAAAAGCTGTGTATGACTCCACTCACATGGTCCTGCTGGGCCTCCCCAACCTCACAGCTATTTACTTCCCACTGTCTTCAGAGCTGATTCCACAGCAGGTAAAACCTGGCAATCCTTCTTTCTCTTTTTCCATTGTAAGGTGTAATGGGTTACTTTCTTTAAAGTTACACAATTTTTTTTGGCTTGCAGATGAATAATTACCCAAATTGAGTATAATTATTTTGATAATTTATTAAAACCCCACAAAAACACAAAAAAACCCCAGACACGCTGCCATTAGTCCTGCTCAAAATCCTGCCCCTCACTTCAAACACACTTATTCCATCATTCTTGCTACTTTCTGAAGCCGTTTTGGAAGTCCTCTTCTATGAGTATTATTATTAGTTGGGCTGTAGTGGCTCCCTTGATGTCCCAAACTGGTTCAAAATGTTTACCTACTATGGTCATTTTTACTTTGAGAAAGAGCCAGAAGTCATACCCTAATATTTCTACAAGATCACTTTTCCATTAGATGACATAAAGGAGCATTCACTGAAGGATTAATAAGTGTCTTTTACTGTAATGTATTTTTTTAAAAATCAAAACACGCACTGTATATTCCACTCATGTTCTTTTTTTTTTTTTTTGAGACAGGCTCTTGCTATGTAGTTCAGGCTGGCTATGTAGCCACCACGCCCCAAACTCACACACTTTTATTGGAAGAAATTCCATGAATACTTACCCATACACTGTTTTATATCTCCCAGGTTTTTTTTTTTTTGGTGCTGGTGATTGAACCCAATGCTAACACTCTACCACTGAGGTAAATCCCCAATCTCATTATTTTTTTAAGCATAAACTTTATTCTTACCTCCTGAACGGGGTTTTAGTATTAAATCCATAACTTCCGTCCAGGAATTTTGAAGAATAGCTCTAAAATTAAATAATATTTATTTTACTAACTTTTGTATTAATACGAACATTATGTGCCAAAATATCAAGTCAACAAAAATGTATTAGCTTTATATTAAACTTAAACATAAGCAGAAAAATTAAGATATAGACTTCAAATGTAAATGCCAAAAAAAACTTTAGAAAAGTTGAGAATAAAATTAAAGATATAATGCTTACTCGCAACAATTAATACTATTTTAGTTTTAAAATGTTGTAACAATATAAACACTACCTAGTTGTATTTGTACTGTAAGTTACTACACATGGAATAGTTACATACAGTCTTTTTGGTGGTGGTGCTGAGGGCTGAACCCACAGCCTCATGCACGTTGGGCACACGCTGTACCAGTGAGCTACCTCCTGAGCTCAATGTTACGTCTTTGTTAAGTGCCAAAACTTGTCTGCATTGCTCAAAAATATCTCTATGTTAAACAACTCCTGCCTAGGCAAATAGAATATAATTAATTCTTTATTATTCTTGCCAAAATGGAAATATCTTTATTTTGAGATACTTCTCATTAAAAATTAAATTAAATAGTGAGAAAACGTTCCTATTATCCAACCTCTAAGAAATAAAACAATGTCAATACAGTGTATTTTTCCCTTTTCTACTCCGGCACACCTGTAAGTATACGTAACTTTTCCTTATGCTATATTTTACCATGCAGAATTTATATTTTGAGTATTATGTCTGAAAATTTTTCCTTTCAGACTTTTAGTCTTGGAGCTGGGAGTGATGCCTTACGCCTGTAATCCTAGCATTTGGCGGGGCTGAGGCAGGAGGATCGCTTTGACTTCAAGGCTAGTCTGGAATACACAGTAAGCTGAAGGCCAACCAGCACTGCATAGTGAGACCCTATCTCAAAAAAATTAAAAAGAAAAGAATATTAGTCTTGGAGTCATGCTTCCCTATCAAGAAAATATAGAAATACCCTTCCATTAATTTTTATTTTTCCAGTTAACTGTCATTTTTAATTTTCATGTCTAAGTTCACAGATGGGACATTTTTGGATGTTACATTACCTGAGATGCTATTAGATGTCTACTGATGAGACAGATATAAATGATTTTCCACTTCAATACTGTAATTATAGTTATACATTTCCTATTGTTGACCATGCTTTGTCCTGGAACCAGCCCTGTTATAAAGGGCTTTAAGTCTCCTTCTAGGTGACACAGCACTTAGGGGGCTAAGCTCCTAGGAACACATCTAAGGAGTGCAGCACTAACTTAGTACTAGACATGCCTAATATGCTGTGTAAAACAGCATGTATGTCCTATGCTATGTAAAACATTATGTGACCTGCAGGTCACACCTGGTTGGCCTTTTTTTGTCTTTTTGAGACAGGGTCTCACTATGTAGTTCAGGCTGGTCTTGAATTCACTATGTAACCCAGGTTGGGCTCAAACTCACAGTGATCCTTGCCTTCCCAGTGCTGGGATTACGGGCATGGCCATCATGCCTGGCTCAGCCTTTTGATTTGCAAACAAACGTACTGGAAAACAGCTGTCCTGACTTAGCTGCATGCTGTCCACGGCTGTTTTCATACTGCAACATCAGACTGATAAGCTGCAACAAATACTCTAAGACCCATGAGGCCTAAATATTCATTATCCAGAATGTTACAGAAAAACCTTGCCAAGCACTTGAGAAGGCAAGGCACAAGGACTACAAATCTAAGGTCAGCCTGGGCTACAAAGCAAGTTGACTGTGAGACCCTGTCTCAAAAGACAAAAATAAACACACAAAAACTGCCAACATCTGGTATAATCAAGTTTCCCACCTGCCAGACTGCTCACTGCTATGCACCGTGAAGGCTTGGCACCGCTGTCATGGATGTGTACATGTGGTTCACAACAGTTCGCCCCACGGCACTCCAAACACTAAGAGGCTTTGTACTTTTCTTATTTTACCTTCCCTTCTCCCACCTGATCTTATTATGGTAAAAATAAACATAAAATTTATTTTAGCAGCTTTTAAGTATCTGATTCCATCAGGTTGTATCCACAGGTTCCTGTATAACCATCAGCACAATTCATCTCCACAACTTTTTATCTTACCTAACTCAAACTGTACCCTCCAACGAGAACTCCCTATTCACCTCTTCCCACAGGCTCTGGCAGCAGCCATCCTCCTCCCCATGGCTGGCTTCTTTGGGAACTCACATGATGGGAATGGCATGCTCTTTGTCCTTTTGTGACTGGCTCATCTTAGCTGGTTTTCAAGGTATATCCATACTGTAGCATCTGTAAAAATTCCTTTTTTTTTTTTGGAAAGAGGGTCTCGCTACGTAGTTCAGGCTAGCCTTGAACTTGTGGTGATCTTCCTGCCTCGATCTCCAATGTGCTGGGATTACAGGTGTGTGCTACCATGCTCAGCTAAAAGTTCTCTGCCTTTAAAGGCTTTATATTCCACTAATTATATATATTTTGTTTATTCATCTGTTGATGGGCATTTGGGTTGCTTCTAACATTTGCTTATTGTGAATAATGATATTACTCACAAAATAATCCTATCATAAACATGAGTATACAAATATCTGAGTTTGTTCTTGCTTTCCATTGTTTGGGGTATATGCCCTGAAGCGGAATTCTAGGTCAGATTACTATAACATACATTATTCCATATCCTCATCCACACTTACTTGGTTTGGTGCCAGCTATCCTAACCAGGTGACATGGCACCTCTCTAAGGCCTAGTAAGTGCTGTGTGTCTTTTCATGTGTTAGGTGGCCGTCTGTGAATCTTTGGAGAAATGTCTACTAAAGTCCTTTGCCCATTTCTGCACTGTTTTAAGCTTTTGTTAAATCTGTAGTTCTTTTCACCTTCTAGATACAAGTCTTTTATTAAACATACGATTTGGAAGAAAACAGAAAGAAGAACTTTTAGAAGTCTTTTGTTTGTTTGACATCTTGTTATATATATAGCATTGTCTTTTGTTTTGTTTGTTTGACATCTTGTTATATATATAGCCCAGGCTGGCCTCAAATTTGCAGTGATCCTCCTGCCTGAGCCTCCTGAGTACTGGGACTACAAGTGTGTGCCATCACCCTTGGCTCTACAAGTTTTGAATTTGCCAAGCCTCCTCCCTCAGCTTCCAAGTAGCTAGGATTACAGGCATATGCTACCATACCAGGTGAGAACATCCTATCCCATCAGCAATCACACCCTACTGGCCCTGCCACAGCCCTATTTCTAAAGACTTGCCCATTTTGGCAATTTCATCCCAATGAATAATACACTGTACAGGCTTTTCTGACTTCTCTTAATGCTTTCATACAGAAAGAGAATGCCATTCCTTTCTGTGTTTACCACATTTTGCTTACCCATTCATTAGTTGATGGGCTTGGGCTACTTCTACTTTCTATGAGTGTGAATTTTTGTGTGAATGTAAGGTAACTCTGTATCTAATCTTTTAAGGAATTACTAAGCCGTTGCCAAAACAGCTGCACCATCTTACATTCCACCTGCAATGTATGAGTTCCAGTGTCTCCAGATCTTCACTAACACCTATTATTTATTTTATTTTAGCCACCCCAGTTGGCAAAGGGTGGCCTCTCAGTGGCAGACTTGCATTTCTGCAATGATCTCCAACGTGGAGCATCTTTTTGTGTGCTTTGTGGCCATTTATCTATGTTCTGTCCCCTGTTTTAGAATGGTCAGTCTTTTTGTTGTTGAATGTAATAGATCTTTATACATTTTGCATTCAAGTTATTTTTCCTTTTTTTTTTTTTTTTGACATAATGGAGACTGAACCCATGGTCTTTGCGCTGAGCTATATCTCCCAGCACGCTGCACCCCGCTTCTCTTTTGGAGAGGGTTTAAGTTTCTAAGTTGTCAGTCATTCTGGACTTGAACTTGTGATCCTCTTGCCTCAGCCTCCCTGAGTGCTGAGATTACAGAAGCACAGCACTATGTTCCTTTAAACTATAAACTGAGACTTTTGTTCTTTCCCTCAGGGGGTCCTACAGTGATTGAGTTGACTTCCTTGAATGTAGGAAATACTGTTTTGGGAATGTCTGTTTTGCATTTTGAACTGACTTTGTACTGACCTTTGGGCAGGTTATACAATTTTTGCTCCTGGAAAACTATATACTCATTTGACTAGCTATTTTTATCATTAGCTTCTCCTCTGCCCAGAGGTACATGGGATGGAATTCAGGACCTCACAAGCACCAGGCAAGTGCTCTGCCACTAAGCTGCACTCCCACACCTTTTTAAATTTTACTTAGAGACAAGGTCTTTTTTTTTTTTTTTGGTTTTTCTCAGGTACCAGGAACCAAACTCACGACCTTGCGCTTGCCAGGCAGGCGCTTTGCCGCTGAGCTAAATCCCCAGCCCCGAGACAAGGTCTTGATACATTGCTCAGGCCTGCTCTGAACTTGTGATGCTCCTCCCTCAGCCTCCAAAATAGCTGGGATTCCAGGTGTGCATCAGAATGCCTAGCATCTTTGGAGTGCAAAGATTATAGGACCTCACTGCTGTCCTTCTGCCAAATTACTTACAAATATGTAGGTTGATACAACCTTCTCTTAAATGTTCTCTCCCATGAAACAACTAGCTTCTTTACTATTTTATCCATGTGCTCTAATCATTAGAAAGGCTGAACACATATTTTTCTATTATTATTTGTTACTACAGATATCTTCTTGGCAACTCCCCCCCCCCTTGGCTAATATACTGTATGTATGTATGCATTTATACTTTAAGAGATGGGTCTATATTGCTCAGTCTGGCTCAAAACTCCTTGGCTCAAGCAACCGTCCTGTCTACTGCATTTTACAGCATTACTTTCCATTTATTTGAGCACTTCCTATATGCTATGTGTAGAAACAGGTGCTGCAAAGCCCCAATCTCACTTTCCTTTCATCATCCTGTGAGGCTGGTATTATCTCTATTAATTTAAGTAATAAATCTTTATTAATTTGAGTAACTTAAGGCTGAAAACTTAAGTCTAGTTCTCCTGCCTGCACTTTTATCCTTCACAGCACCACTTTTAAGAGGTAGAGGAAACACATGACAGAATTTATCATTTTTTATTTCTAGGATCACAAAAACAAGTTCAAGTCTATATAGTTAGCTGCTAAAAAAGAAAAAAAAGAACTGGAAGTCAGTAAGACTTTACTCTCAGGACTCCAGCTGAGCAACTAGTGAGCTTGGATAGTCCTCCCTGAGTCTAATTTCCACCTGCTAAAATGAAGGCCTGAAACACTGGGAAGGATTGCATCTAAAATGTAGCTACCACCATTCTAACTCACAGGTACAATGACAAACAGAACACAGTCTCTGCTGGGCTTTATGATTCAAGTATTGATACTTGGGATTTCTACCCCACTTTACCCTAGAGAGGCTTCCTATTATCTAAATGTGAATCAGAGTGCCTACACTAACCTCCACCTCACTAATTTTATCCCCTACCATTTCCCTGAAAGTGCAGGGCAAGGACAGATCACAGTTTAATAACTGGGAATCACTTGTCAGCACAGACCATAAAGCACACTATGTCCATCTAGCTACTCTAGATCTGCGTTTACCCACTTCCTGAGCCCAGACTTAGCTGTGAAAAAATAAAAACAAAACCTTAGAGGTTTTAAATGGTGGGAGAAAACTTTCCTCTAGGTCATACCCTTTTGAACTCTGATTTCTACTTTGTACATGGATTATCTTAAAATAGAACAAAACTTAAAAAGAAGCTGTGCATCGGGTTCATCTGCCTATACAAGAAAGAATCTAGAAATACTTTATGAAATTAAATACTAACCTTCCGACTTGGTAAGTAGGGACAGCCGTCGTTCCAAATCTTTGCATTCCATAGTAGTTAATAAATCCTATGTCCTTTAGAGAGTTCATAGCTTGTTGGACTTGGTCATCAGTTCCTGTTATATTTCTGCAGACACCCAAATTATGCAGAGAAAAAATATTACAGCCCAACACTTGTGGGGAAGAGCATCCCAAATAACTATGGCCTGGCTTCCATGTCTCTCCTGAAGCTTTCTCTCTATCTCCAAGGGGCTCTTTGTTAGTTGTTCTAATACAGTAAGTTTACCATTTCAGCCGTTTTTAAGTATATAATCCAGGGGCATTAAGTATATTCTTTTTTTTTTTTTTTTTTGGTACTGGGAATTGAACTCAGGACCTTGTGCTTGCCAGGCAGGCGCTGTGCCACTGAGCTATATCCCTGGCCCTCATTAAGTATATTCGTAATGCTATACAACCTTCACCATTACCTACTTCTTGAGCTTTTGCAACTTCTCAAACTTAAACTCTGCCCTGAGTAACCATCACTCCACTTCCTGTGAGTCTGCCTATTTTAGGTAGCTCGTTTAATCACAGCCACTCTGTCTCTAACACAGTATTTGAGGATGGTGCTTTTCTAGTGTTAGTAGGGCAAGGACTGCCTGTCAGTGCAAATATTACTGCAGTATTTGCTCTCCCAACTCTTGTTTCTTTTTTGGGGGGGAGAAGGGCAGGGGTACTGGGAATTGAACTCAGGACCTTGCACTTATCAGGCAGGCACTGTGCTACTGAGCTATATCCCTAGCCCCTAGGGCCTCCCTCCCAACTCTTTTGGCTGTGCTCTACCTTCCTGCTAAGCTGCATCTGGTTAGCAACTCATTACCAGGTGATCTGGCCAGACACCCTCAGATTCTGCATTCCCACCTGTGATTCTTTACCTGAGAACTACAGTAAAGTGATTTCCTTGGAGTTCTCCCAGTTTCAGAGGGTTTTTCTGATAGCTGAAATTTCCTAGCTTAAAGTTCATCAAGCACTTATTCAGATGGGCAAGTCTCTGTGCAGATATTCTTTAAAAAGATAAAAAGGAGAGGGAGAAAATCATGAGATACTGTCAAGAATGGTCCAGGACACTGGGCACGGTCGTGCATGCCCGTAATCCCAGCACTCAGGAGGCTGAGGAAGGAGGATTGTTTCGAGTTCAAGATCAGCCTGGGCTACAAAGTGAGCTCAAGGCCAGCCTCAACTGCATAGCGAGACCCTGTCTCACAAAGACAAAAAAAAAAAAAAAAAGGTCCAGGACATCTTCCTGCAGAGAACATCACTACAGCAAAGCAGTGTCCCAGCTGGAAGAGGCAGCTGCCATGGAAGGCGGGGCACAATGCATACTTCCTGTCCCCGAATGTTCCCCACACAGGGGTGGCTGCTTTGACTGGGATGCTGTGGCTTGTGCCCCACTTCACAACCTCAAATCCCCTTGCTATTTCAATACTGATGCATAACAGAATGAACAGTATCTGTGGAATGTTCTACTTTGGGGTGAAGGGTGAGAAAAGACATGGTGGCGGAGATCAATCTCACATAACAAAAAGAATTATAGCAAGCATTAAGAAAAGGGTTAGTCAACAACAACAACAAAAAAAAGCAAAAGAAAAGGGTTAGTCACAGAAGATTTGTCTAACAGAAAAATATTGTGAACCTGCCTTCGTTACTTTTCTCTCATTGCTGAGAAAAATAACTGATGCCCACAATTAAGGAAGGAAAAGGCTATTTAGCTGAGGAGTTGTTTTTTTTTAGCTCACAGTTTGTGGAGTTTTCAGTCCATACTCAGCTGGCTCCAAGGCAGGGTGGCACATGGCAGAAGGCAACAGCTCATGGCAGTGGAAAAGAGGAAAAGCAGCAAGACCAAAAAGGGAGGAGCAGCAAGAACCAAGCCTCTTTCCCTCCCTGATATTGTATGCAGGGTACCTATCCTAGAGCGGGTGCAGCACTCACACCCATAATTCCCCAGCATGGAACCACGAATCAATCACAAACTCTAGAACCCCACCCCATGACTGCCTGAGGCTTTGGGGGGACATGTAAACACAAACCTTAAAAGAACCCATTATAGAAAACTTGGAAAATACAAAAATGTAGAGAGAACATTCATAGGTGCATCCCTTTAAGAGAAATCTGTTAGATCCACCTTTAGTGCCTCCCATTCTTTTTATAAACACATGTTATATATATATAACATGTGTTTATAAAAAGAATTTTACATATATATATGTATGTAAAATCTTCCAACAAATCCGTATCCTGCTGCTTTTGTTTCCTATGGCATTACAAAATGTCCAAAAAGGATGCCTTTCTTTCTTCAATGCAAAATCTATGTAGAAAAACAGATACCACACTGAAAACCCTTTTCCTCCATCCCCAGGCCCTCCCCATTTGCAGCTGAGAGGAACAGTTTATGTCCCTCCCGAAGCACTTTCTGTCCATAGAAACATGCATCTCCTCCCACCCAGACTTTCTGATAAGCCTTATCAGAAAGATATATTTCATAAATGTTAAATTTATGAATTCATTAAGATGCACAAAATCACTTAATAAGCAACCAGGTCCTCTTTTTAAAAAAGCAAATTCTGCCACATTATAAATTATTTAGCACCTTTGCTTTAGTTATTTAAAGAACATTTTCTAAAAGCTAGGCACCACACTACATGCCTATAATACCAACATTTTGGGAGGCTGAGACAGGAGGATTCCGAGTTTGAACCTAGCCTGGGCCACTCAGAAACTTAGTGAGACCCTCAAAATTAAAATAAAAAAAAAATTTAAAAAGAGGTGGGATGTAGGTCAGCGAGCAGGCCTTGGGCCCAACCCCCCCCCCCCCTTTAGAGATCTGCTTTATCCACACAGTACCTAGGAACTGGCCTCTCCTCAGTACAGTGGCAAGAACAGCTGTGCACGGCATGGATGTGCTATCCTTTATCTCATCAGTCTTCTCTGTTTTTGTTTTTCAGTACCAAGGTTGAACCCAGATGTTCCCCCATGCTAGCAAGTGATGTATCACTCAACTATGTACCCAGCCTTTAAGATTTTTTTCTTTAGAGACAGTCACACTAAACTGCCCGGGCTGGTCATGCTCTTGTGATTTTCCTGCCTCAGCCTCCCACCTGTGATTGCAGGGAGATACCACCATGCCCAGCTCACTAGTCTCCCTTAATGCATGTTTAAACTGCCCCTAATCTTTTGCTATTTACAAACACTTCTCTAACAAATGTCCTTATATGTATTTCTTTGCTCACTTTTCCAGGTGTATGTTTAGGATAAACCCCTAGAAAGGGGCGGATTTAGTTTTAACCCTTCTCTCTGTCCAGAGAGATTACACCGATTTACACCCAAACATTACCACCACGGAGCCCACTGCCTCGATCCGGGCCAACCTCCTCGCTAAGCTGTCTGGCTAAGCACGGTCCTCAGTGTGCATGCTGGGAGGTGCAGGAGTCCTCAGGAGGGACAGAGGCAGCGCCCCTACGTGAGCTGTGCTGGCCACTGCTGGCTTAGGGGCTGGCATGTCTGCCTGTCCTTCTCCTGTGTGTTCCAACACAGCCCGCCACCGCGAAGCTCTCAGAGCCACATGATCCCGCTGCCCGGCCCCTGCATGTCCTAAGCCTAGAGCTGAATTCACCTTTTTTATTTATAGATACCCAGCCTCACACACATCTTGCCAGGCAGGTGCTGTACCACTGAGCTATATCCCTAGCCAATTTTTTTGTTTGTTTGTTTTCCAGTACCAGGAATCGAACTCACGACATCGCGCTTGCCCGGCAGGCACTGTGCCGCTGAGCTAAATCCCCAGCTCCCTCACACAGATCTTATAGTAATACACGAGTACACTCCTTCACCCACGGGATAGGTAGTACAAATTTGTTTTGAGACAGTTTCACTATTTAATTCAGGCTGGCCTCAAACTCACTGCGTAACCCTGGTTGGCCTTGAACTCAAGGAGGTCCTCCTGCCACAGCTTCCCAAATGTTGGGACTACAGCTGTGTGCCACCATACTCAGTACAAATCTTTTTTTTTTTTACATAGGGTCTCACCATGTAGTTCAGGCTGGCCTCAAACTCATGGCAATCCTCCTGCCTCAGCCTCCCAAGTGCTAGGATTACAGGTGTGTGCTACCACAGTTGGCAACTCTTTTTGAGCTTTGCCAGTCTTGTTAAAATTCTGTATTCTAAACTTGGGTAGCACACACATGTAATCCTAGTTACTTGATACTTTGTTACTGTTACTATTTTGTTATTATTTCTAGCTACATGAAAGCAGAGAAAGGAGAATTATAAATTTGAGGCCAGCAATTCTGTCTGAAAAGAAAAACAAAAAACAAAAAACAAACAGACCTTGGATGTAGCAGCGTTACAGCCCTGGGTTTTATCCTCTTTACAAGGGGGTTCAGGGAGAGAATATACATATTTATTTAATCTTGGCATTTATCCACATGCCTCTTATGAGCGGGCTTAAGGATGTCTACACATGATGACTGACTTGTTCATCCTATTGTCTATAGTTTTATGGGATTATTAATTTTTTAAACCGTACCAGGGACTGGACTCAGGGACGCCCGAGCGGCAACCCTAGCCCTTTTCTCATTTTATTTGAGATGGAGTCTTGCGAAGCTGCCTGAGTTAGCTTTGAACTTCTGGTTCTCGTGTCTCAGCCTCCCATGTACCTGGGGTTACAGGCATGTGCCACTGCGCCCAGCCCTAGTATATACATTAAGGACATCTACCTTGTGTCACAAATTTTGCCAATACTATCTCCCATTTTATGAGTTTATTTATATTTTACTACTGTATTTAGAAAACTTTCCCAATTTGATGTTGAAAAAAATCATCAGAGAAAAGCAAACCACAAATAATGAACAGCTTTATAGCTCTGACCTGGATTTACCAAGACTAAGGTTTTCCCACACTTCTTTGCACGTCTCTCTCTCTATATTTGTGATGTCCCCCACCCACAGGGGAGATGTATATTTACTGAACCAGTGAAGCGAGCCCCAGACGCAGAGCATTTTACCCTGCAGGACTGCAGTATCTCCTAAGAACAAGCAGAGCCTGCTGTGTAACTGCAATGGTCACCTCAGGAAGCCGGACAGCATTCAGACCGTGCCCTACACAGGCAGCATTCAAACTCACTAAGTCCTCCAACAACATCCAGGAATTGTATCCCACAGGCTCCAGAAACCAGAGCGTGGGTCTGAACAGAGTGAGGACAGGAGGACAGGACCCCTCTTAGTCAGGAAACGCTGCTGTAGGAACTGACAGAATAATTCAAAGCAGAAGGAACCCGACTGTCCGCATGAAGCTGTCCTTGAAAAACTCTGGTGACTGCTTTCTGACAGCGCCCGGAAAGTGCCTGACAACTCTGTTCTTTTCTTTTTTTGAGATAAAACTGACATGAAATCAGCAATTTTAAGCGCTACATCATATATACTTCAGGGGCTCTTAGTATATTCACAATGTTGTGCAACTATCATCACCATCTCAGCCCAAAACACATCACTTGGAAAAGAAACGTCACACAACTGGCCAGTCCCATTCCCTCTGCAGCCCCTGGTAATCACTAATCTATAGTCTGTAGGGTCCCACGTCGGACATTTCATACGTGGACGCACACGGTGTGTGGTCTTTTATGCCTAAGTTCCTACTGTAGTGTTTTCAAGCTTTATAGCTGAATAATGCTATCTTTGAGTGTACAACAGACATCATTTCCGAGTCCCACCCTACCACAAAACCCCAGACCCATGATTAGCTCTGGAAGGTAAGGGGCTTCCTGGGAAAATACAGGATGGCGCTGACAGCCACCTCCATAGTACTGTTCAGTTTTAATTCTGATGATCCTAGATCAGGCAAGCTCTCTGGTTGGAAGTTCAGAGGGATTTAAATGACTAGAGAACACGACAATCTCACTTGGAAACACTGGGCGCCAACCTAACTGACACACTGCACAAAAGCTTTATTAAGGAAGCCAGGGAAATACGGCCCAGGCTCTGAAAGGAACAGGCAGGAAAAGAAACAAATCATTCTGAATAAAACTGTTCCTTACTGAGATCCTGTTGAAGTTTCTGAGAACTGCTGCTTATCCCCAGACTGATCAACTCAGCAGCCATGAAAACCCTTCTGGGGCCGAGTGGGTTTGCCCTGGTCCCCGTTCTCACGGGAAAGGCAGCTGGCCTGGCTATGTGGACCCATTCAGCAAGCTAAGGGTGCAGCCTGTATCCGTGAGATAAGTGCTGTGTGCTTTCCACAGGCCAGCTTTTAGGGGTCCAGCATAGCTTCTCAGAGTCAACAGGAAAATGAGAAGGCAGCAAGCGTCCACGAGGGTAGAGCAGTATCCTGACCAAGTCGGATATGTGCCAGCTGGCCTCCGATATTCATAGTTCACACCATAAAATGGAGTCAGATGCTATTTTTTTTTTAAATCTCAAATTAGCAAACGATTTTCTTTGTTCCTGACAACAGACTGGGAAGGGTTCTGAGGAACGAGAATAAAGATGGTAATCGGTACACCTTTGTTGAGGGCAAGTAGGTCTGGTCATCAGAATCACTGGCACTTCATATTCCCTTCTGGTCAGTAATTTCACCGCAATGTTTATCTGTGTGTGGGTTCCTTGGGGTTGAACCTAGGCTTCACGCATGTTAGGCAAGTGCTCTACCACCGTGCTACATCCCCAGCCCTTTAATTTTATTTTGAGATAAGGTCTTTCCAAAAATACCCAAGTGGCCTGAAACTTGTGACACTCCTGCCTCAGCCTCCCAACTAGCTGGGATTACAGGGATGGGCCACCATGTCCAGCCTTGTATTTTTATGAATATAAAACATTTTTAAATTGAGGTAGAAAATTTCATTTAGCTAGCTAGAAATCATAGGAGTTGACTGCAATATTTTAGATACCAAAGAGAAGGCAATGGCTACAATAATGAGTTCAAGGCCAGTCTGCACTACACAGCAAGACCTTGTCTCAAAATGATAATAATAATAATAATAGCAATGACAGCAAAGAGAAGGCGAGACCCTTGAGTCCCAGACCCAGAGTCTGGGAAAGTCAAAGCCCTTGAGCCATTCCCTCCTTCTCCCCATTCTTCTGGGTTTCTGGCAAGCCCACTGGCCATTCTCACAGGGGCTCTTTCAGATCCAGTCTCTATTAGTCAGCTTTGTGTCACTGTGGCAAAATACCTGGGATAGAGGCAACATAAAGAAAGAGACGTTTCTTTCGGCTTACAGATTCAGAGGCTGCAGTCAATGGTCCGTTGGCTCCACTACTTTTAGGCCCAAGCTAAGGCAAAGTATCACATTGGAAGGGCGCGGTGGAACAAAGCCATTCAACTCATGGCAACCAACAAGAAGAGAACAGGACAAGAACCAGAGAGGAAAATGCCAGGGACAAGATACAATCCCTAAAGTCACATCCCACGGCCCCCTTCTTCCAGCTAAGACCCACCTCCTAAGGGCTCATTCAGCTCTGAACCCACCAACGGGTTAGCTCACAGATGAGATTAGCATCCCCAGTCCAGTCACCTCCAGGTAACTCTAAAGCCAGTCAAGGTGACAGTCAAGGTGGACAGTTACATAGTTCTTTTTAAGGCCCTGCACTCTCAGGCAGATGGCTTCACATTCTGTGAATCACAGGGAGAGACTCCAAGCGGGACACCATCACCATCACCTGACTCTGCTCTCTCCAAACACAACAGCATGCACACACATCATGGAAAAAAGGGATGGAAGGCTTGCACTTTGCTGTTAGGACCACGTGTCATGGCCTTGGGCCAAGGAAGAAAGGGACTTGAATAATCCACTAGGATGCAATATAGCACTCAACCACTATATTACTCAAGTCAATCACAAAAATGGCAGGGAAAGCCAGATTGTAGGGGACTATGGGATAAAGAAGACATGCTACCTCAAATTCCTTGTGAAAAGATACTATAGATAAACCTATTTTTTGTGAAGACTGAAACACGTAAGTCTGTATTTAATTGCACTGTAATTGATACACAGTAACATACATATATCTAAAACATGCAAGTCTGTTGTTTTTTTTTTTTTTTTGAGGCAGGAGGTCACTATGTAATCCAGGCTAATCTTGACCTCAAGATCCTCCTGCCTCAGCCTTCCAAGCCAAGTGCTAGGGTTACAGGTGTTTGTCACTGTGCCTTGCTTAAAATGTACAAGCTTTGACCTGTGTATAAACCCAGGAGAACATGACCACATTTAAGATAAGGAATGCATCACTCTCATGTTCCCTCTTGCCCGTTACTTCTCTGTCTCATTACCCATTACCTTAGGGGGTGCAATGAAATGAAAGCTTTGTTTGACTCCACACAGCTATTGAATTCATCCTGTTTATCTCTCTATGACAACTGGGTTTAGAACCCTGTTCTCCTTCCCAGAATATGGCAATAGCTCCAGTCTCCAGTTCCCTTACCTTGCTCCACTTGTAATGCTTAATTCAGCCTCTACACGATGCCCCTGTTTAAAGTCAAATCCAAGACCCCCACTGTGCCCTGCAGGACCCCCCCGGATCTGGGTCCTGCCTGCCCCTCAAGCCTCATTTCTTATTTCTTGCTTCATCCCCACAAAGTTCATGTACCTGCCAGATACTAAAGGTGCTATACTCCCCAGATCCTTCTGACGTCCTTTCATAGGCTATTTTCTTGGCTTGGAACAAACAGCGCCCCACTCACCAGCCTGGGAAACATCCCCTCAACCTGCTGGGATCCAGCCCAGTGGTCTTCCGGCAGGAGTGGCTTGGAGTGAATCTGACCATGTCTGTAGGCATTTTTACTGTCAGACTGAGTGAGGAGTAGGGAAAGAGCAAGGGGGCAGCTAAATTTCTTATGCTGCGGCCACAACAACAAAGCAGTATCTAGCCTGGAATGGACACAGCACAGAGACTGAGAAGCCCTGATATAATTAAACTGAAGCATCCCATTTCTGCGAAAGCTTTGCATGCCCTCTGCGTTCAACCACATGCTTACTGTCAGACTTGCTCAGGTTTATCTTTACCTCAGCATTTCTCTCACCGTGGAGTAAGTTGTACTTGACTGTCAGCCCCATTAAATCATAAATGCTTCAAAAGCAAATACTATCTTTTTCATCTAATGAGTGAACAAAAGAGAGAAGGAAGCACTATGCTGTTGGTGCTATCATAAAAACCCATTAAAAAAACACAAAACACACATCTGATACAATAATTATTAGGAAATACAGACAAGCAGACAAAAAAACAAGGTAATTTTTGTGTTGTGCAACA